TTTTAGCCAACTCTATATGCCTCTATGACGAAAGCAGATTTAAACATTCAAACTTTCTGATTATTTTAAGTTGGTAACTATGGACTTGATTGCTAATGGAGATGATAAATGACAAATCAAAAAGCTCTACTAGCAACCTTAATTATCACCAAGCTGCGTACTCCACAAATAACTTGGCAATATTTGTGTCATTTTAAGTGAAGTGCTGTAAAATGACTGTTATATAACAATTAATTTCTTAAGAGAAAAATAGTGCCAAATTTCGACTCAAGCAGGCAAAATAAGCTAACTGACGACAGCTTGAACCTCTCAAAATGAACACTTTCTGCACTCTATAGGATGTATAAGCACAATAGCTACAAAATTTTCAAAATAATCCCCAGCAAAAATAATGCGCATCAATATAGCTACTTTTTTTAAAAGCATTTGGCGCAGGATGTCTATCTTTCAAAAAAGCCTGTTACGTTACATACGACATATACAAATTTTCTATTCTGAAACCATCGCGCGAGAACAATTCAAGAATGTTAAAATTTCAGTTGGCGTAATTGGTAACCTGATTCATTTTCCCCTCTCTATTTTAGAACATGCGAGAATTTGTCAAAACACATTAATTTACCACTGACTGCGCCATTTTCTTTCATTCAAGACGACGCAAAACTTAGAAATGTATAGCTTGTATTGTTTTAGCTTGTTATTATCCAACAAAGTATTGTAATTTGCATAATTGTCTCAAACAAAATGAAGACAATAACCCAGAAATAGATGAAAGGTGAAAGCCGAACATGAAGATCTATAATTAAAGAAACTTGCACAGTAGATTGTAATACACCGCCATTCCATAAATTCCATCTCAGTAAAACTTGACTAATATATGTTATCTCCCACTAATTTATCACGACATTGAGTTTTGTTCGAGACCATACACACGAATTTGTGTAATCTTCAAAAGTTCCTCTTGTAGAATCAAGAAAATGATTAAAACTGAACATTTTTTTATCACGTATACAAGACCATTGCACATAAGTTAATTGGAAATTAAGTAATCTGGAGCAAAATGTAAGTGAATTTCAGTTGAGCTGCAATGTAGATTATAATTATCTGTTTCTTTTCAATGTTAGCTACATTTTTTATGTTTCCTGTTTGGTTAGTTGAATAAGTTGTTTTTTTTTGTACTCAAGATTTCGAAAGATGGCAAACCCTTTAAACGAAAGAATAATTGAAAAGCCTGTGGTGAATATAATTGCAAACAATTTTATTAATTTTTATAATCAATCTAAAAACTAAATATGTTGGAATTTGCATAAATTTTTCATGTAGCTATTATTTTCATTGTCTCACTCACTATTGTGAATTCATAAAGGAGTTATGTATACCCTGCACCCTAAACTAAATTTTCATTTTTTGGCTAACTGCCTTTAGGAAAACATTGTCGTTGATGGTAACTTTCATGGTGCTTACTTAAAGGTATGAATTTGAACATACAAAGCCTAAATATAGCTTTCAAATAAAAGCATTTTAAAAAAGTGCTTGGGTATCATTTTACAATCGGTGTTAAAATTCTTGAAAAAAAACGCACATTTTCGCTGTTCTATAGTTGTTGTGGATTAAAAATATTGCCAATTATTGAAAAATTTTACTGATATTAATGCTTTATTTTGCTGTTGCTACACTCCTTTCACAATTATACGACCTTTGTAGTTTTTGTTCACAATTTTCTCACAAAGCCGTATGTATATATATATATATATATATATATAAAAGATAAACGTTTCTCCGTTATATATTCAATGTGATAAACGTTATATATTCAATGCCTGGATTACAAGTACAGTCCGTAAGTACAGTGCTCGATGCTTAAGAGCAGAGCGTAAATATTGATGAGAAGAAGAAAATACACAAAAACTACAATTTCATCCCGACAAGCCTGTTTCGTGATTTCTCACTCTTCAGGGGATAATATTAAATGAATACAAAGCATGTGCTAGATTATATATACAAGAGGAAGTTAGGTTAAAAATTGAGATAGAATTACATAATATATTGAGTGTACGATTACAAATTACATAAAAGTGCTTTGTGTCTATGGCGACAAGAGGAGATAAGTTCGTTACGTTTGTTGAGTGATGATAGTTGTGGTTGGTAGGTGATGAAGAATTTTTCTTTCAGGCATAGGTTGCATCTTTTGTTGGCGCTGTTGTACGGTTTGCTGTGAGTAATGATGTTCCATGAGATATTGTGAGCGATGTTGTTGTCTTTTAGTGTCCATATGTGTTTGCTGAGTTCGGTGGAGTTTCTTAGTTTTTTGTGGCGAAAAGAGGCAGTGTGGTTCCTGTGTCGAGTCTTAAATTCGTTTTCTGTAAGTCCGATGTAGGTCTCAGTTGTGTTATTGTCTAAACGTTTAACAGTTGCTTGGTAGATGACAGATGATTGTAGGCAGTTTCCGTTAAGTGGGCAGTTTTGTTTTTGACGGCAGTTGCATGTTTTAGTTTGTGTATTTTTGTCATTGATGGTGTCATTAGTATTGTCAGGTTCTCTCAATATGCGTTTGTTATGGTTATTAATAATATGTTCCATATTGTTCATGCAGCTGTAACTTAATTTAATTGTGTTGCGGTTAAATAGTTTTCTGAGTTTGTGGTCTATGGGAAAGTGCTTGTCAATTAGTGAAATGAATTTGTAGCCGATGTTTGTGCTGACGTTCTTGCTGTATGGTGGGTTGTACCAGAGTATGTTATTTCTAAGTCTGTTTTTCCGTTTCGTAGTAGCGTTTGGGTCATATTTCAGCGTGTAATGATATCCATTTTCGTCAAGTGCTTTTTGGTATGGAGGGATTGCTTGGTCGAATGATGCTCCGTCGGATGATAAGGATGAAAGGCGTTTGTTAATGGTATCGGGTATGTTCTTTGTAATGCTTGGAGGATGGTTGCTTTCATGGTGGATGTATTGCAAAGAGGTGTTGGGCTTAGTGTAAGGTCGATGGGAAGAATTCTTTAGATCGAACGTAATGTCGAGGAAGTTAATGACTTTTTTGTTAGCTTCGATAGTGATACGCAATCCGTTGTTGTTAAATACGCGGCATATCTCTTTTTTAATTTTTTCTGTTTCTTTAGGTGTTGCTTTAGTAATGGCTAGTCCGTCGTCGCGATAGAGTCCTATGTTAGTAATGATGTGTTGCAGTTGAGAGAGTAGATAGCTTCCTACAAGTTCGCATGTTTCGGCGCCGTCGAAGCTGCCCATTGTCACGTCGAATGTGGAGTTGTATTTCTTTTGCCATGGTTGTTGGTTGTGAATGAGGTATGAATTCTTGGCATGTATGATAATGTTTCTCTCTTGGTTTGTGATGTTGTCGTGGGTTGAGGCGAATTCAAGTGCTTTGTTTAAGAGGTCTTGGTTGATAGACGGGTAGAAGTCTACAATGTCGAAAGATATGAAATTGTGATTTTGTTTGCGTTTGATGGAGTTGAACCACTTGATGACAGATGACGAGTTTTTCCATTGGTTCAGCGAAGTGGCTTTTATGATATTGTTGTTTATTCTGTCAAGTATTTTTTTGCTAATTTTTCCAATTTCAGATTTCGTCGGGTTGATTAGTCGGCACGTGGGTTTATTTGCGAAGTTCGGTTTGTGATCTTTGAGTGTTATGAATGCGTCTTTGTTAGCGGTGGAGTCTACTCTGTCAGATATACCCAGTTGTGATGTGATATTTTTGTCTTCGGCGTGGATGGCTTGTATTGCGTCGACGTTTATTTTCTTGTATGATTTAGTGATATTTTGTTGTAGGAGGTCGTTGTATGCTGGCTTGTCTAGTTTGTAGAAGTTTGTTGTTTTGTCGGCTGCGATAAGTAGCTTTTCTTCGTGTTTGATGGCTGTGGTGTTGTCTTTTATTTCAGTGAGAAATGCGTTGTGTACTTTTTTAAATTTTACTGATTGGATCATCTTCATCATGTCGTTTTCGAATTGTTTTAAGTCGTCAATCGGTGGATTGACGACTTAAAACAATTCAGTCGACTTAAAACAATTAAGTCGTCATTGATTGGATTAAAACAATTAAGTCGTCATTGATTGGATTGACGACTTAAAACAATTAAGTCGTCAATCGGTGGTTTTAAGTCGTCAATCGGTGGATATATATATACAAAGTGTATTATAATGTGCCCTCCCGGCTATCACCATAGTAAGATGGTGACTCCTGCACTTGGGACACAGGACGTACGGTTAAAAATTGGATAAAAGGGCCTTGTTGAGTGTAACCATACACTCAACATATTATGTAATTCTATCTTAATTTTTACTCTAACTTCCTTTAGCATATATAATCTAGCACATGCTTTTGTATTCATTTAATATTATCCCCTGAAGAGTGAGAAATCACGAAACAGGCTTGTCGGGATGAAATTGTAGTTTTTGTGCATTTTCTTCTTCGTCTCATCAATATTTACGCTCTGCTCTTAAGCATCGAGCACCGTACTTACGGAGATTCAAATAAACAAAACTTGCTGGATGCCCGAGAGCAGAGCGTAAACATATGTAGCGATGTTGAAAAAAATCACGAAAACTACAGATTTATCCCGACAAGCCTGTTTCGTGATTTCTCACTCTTCAGGGGACACTAGTGCTGTTGTATGGTTTCTGTGTGTGATGATGTTCCATGAGATTTCGTGGTCAATGTTGCCATCTTCAGGGGCGGATCCAGCTTCTGGGCTGACCGTGGCCTTGTGACGTAGCGAGCGCCTTCGGCGCGAGCCAACGCTAGGGGAATCTGGGGGCATGCTCCCCCAGAAAATTTTTAAATCTAGACTCTCGGAAAAGCGAATTCCGGCATTTTTAATGTAGAATATAACAATATTTTAGTTATAATCTCATCTAAAAAAATTTCTAATATCGCCATTTTTTTAATTCTGTTCGGATAGAAGAATAAAAATTTGTGGTGTCTGATGTAAAATCAACGCAGTTTCCGTACTTTCCTGTAATCACAGGATTGTTGCCAAAGGAGTGAGAGAAAGATGAAGCATGTTATTTTTGCAGTGAATAACCAAAAGACAGTTCACTACAAAAAAATAATTCCCCATCTTTGTAGCCCCATCAAATGGTCTTTTTCGAAAAACAGCAAGGATGCCTTTTGTAACAGCCATAAAGATGGCAAGACTAATAAAAGCAATGTTCAAAGGTGGTCTTCTTCCAACAACAGCAAAGATGTTTATCCAACAATTGTAAAGATTGCAAGATTAATAAAAGCAATGTTCAAAGGCGGTCTTCTTCCAACAGCAGCAAAGATGTTTATCCAACAACCGTAAAGATGGCAAGATTAATAAAAGCAATGTTCAAAGGTGATCTTCTTCCAACAGCAGCAAAGATGTTTATCCAACAATGGTAAAGATGGCCAGATTAATAAAAGCAATGTTCAGAGGTGGTCCTCTAAAAACAAAGTAACAAAATGATTTTTGGTGGATGGGATTTTTTGATCTACCAAATAAGAAGGTGGCATCGCAGCACAACGAAAGATATGGACATAGTCAATTGCACTCCCATCAACAAAATCTCTTGGATATATTGTACAATTGAGCATTTTAGCCAACGAATCCCAATTTCCTTTCACTTCAGCATCATTAGTAATTGGGTAGTATGACTGAATAGCACACTGGATTACTGTGGACAAAGCAAACATACACATCAAGGGTGAAAAGGTGTAATTATTTGCTGTTTCTACTGCTTCTTGTAAAACTGCTGCAATTTCATTCGCATTTTCTAAAGAGGTTAGAGCTGCATCGGATATACACATGGCAAAGGCATTTTTAAGTGAAGTGAATGCACCATTTTTATGCTGGGACTCGATGAGAGGATGGGTAGAATAGTATTTTGCATTCTCAAACATTTCAACACTAGTTAGGAATCTCAAGTAAATAGAGAGAGTCTCATTCCCAACTAATGCAATAGAACATGCATTGAACAGACAATTCCCATTGGCTAAAGTACTAAAAAAAAATTAGTATTTAAGTATCAATGGCTGCTTTGTTATACCAAGTTATACCTGGAAACAAATCTGCTAGACTGACTCTGACATTAGAATAAATAAGGGTAACCAATACTGTTAAAGATAGACTAATAATATTGAAATTGAGAAAGTTATTTTCTCTTTGTGTTAATTTGGTAACATCATGATAAAGTCAAAGTCACAGGCAGGTAGTCTAAGATTTGGAACTAGTCTAGGCATGTCAAACAGGATTCAGACGACTTATTGATTCCATCTACTATAGCATCAATATTCTATATAAATCGCGAAAGAAAGTAACAGTTATTCAAAATGATATGTTAGTTTCTTTAACCAGGGGATAACATAAAATGCCAGGAATACAAGGATAATACATTATTGATTGGGTTAAATTTTAAAAAGGACTAGCTTTGACTAATATTGAAGTAAAACATTTTTTTAACAGACAGTAACAATTAAAATTATTTAGGCCGTACATTAGACAGACTGAGTATGCAAAATAATGACAGCTTTAGACATATATTTTACATGATACACTAAATATGAATAGCTGAAAATTAACGGATTGATCATATATTTCAGGCCAAGATGTCAAACGCAAATAAAAAAATAAATTAATACCCCAATACATGTAAATTCTTACCTAACAGGGACATTGGGTCCTGATCTTTCAATTTGGCTTTCAGGGAACTGCAGTTTTGAAAATGAACAAGTTCGTAGAATAATATCGCCAGTAAAATTTATACGACGAAGCCTTTCCTCGTTGATTATTTTACCACAGTATTGTCTCAAGTTAGACAATTCACCAGAAATAATTTCGCAAGCGTTCTCTTGCTGAAAGATTTGGACGAGCTTTTCAAGAACATCGATCTTTTTAGAAGTTTCCATTGATCCTAATCGCTGAGTACAACTAGAAGTAGCGTTTTCAAGTCGACAAGAATCGAGCTATTACATATGACTTGTATTTATTGCGCAATCAAAATACATTCACCGTGGCTCACCGTGGCGCACATGACCAAAACGTTCCCTGTGATTGGCTTGCAACGCTGCACCGTGGCTGAAGGTTACTATATTTAGCAACTATTGCGAAATTTTTTGAACGCTGACCGTGGCTCTTCATTCTGAGATTGCAGGCGCGAATTTACGAACATATTCCGAGCATATTCATGGTGTATTCGGCAAGATTCGAGACGCTTTCGGTGATTTTACAGTTCAGAGTTTAACTGGTTGATAATACTATTTTAACAAGACATTTAATTTGAAGTTTTTGTTCTGTTAACACAATTTTTGACAAAAAATTACAAAATTCATTCAATTTTTGCTTTTGATCGAATTTTGCTGTATTTGAGCAAAACTTTTAATCATGAAAAAGTCAACCCTGGAAAAACTTAAGTGGCAGAATTCTGACCGTGGCTCAAGCCACTTTCGCCATGGCCTAGATCCGCCCCTGGTCTTTAAGGGTCCAAGTGTGCTTACTGAGTTCGGTCGAGTTTCGTAGTTTTTTGTGGCGGAAAGAGGCAGTGTGATTTCTATGTCTAGTTTTAAATTCGTTTTCAGTAAGTCCAAGGTACGTCTCAGTTGTGTTATTGTCCTTGCGTTTCACAGTAGCTTAGTAGACGACGGATGATTGTAGGCAGTTTCCTTTATGTGGGCAGTTTTGTTTTTAAATTAAATGGTTTGAACCCGGGAGTAACGTTACATGTTTGTAAATGTAGATCGTCCAAGTTGGTATAGTCCTGAGAAGGACTGTTTTTGCTGTTGTTAACTGACGTTTTGACAACCTTAGCGGTAGTCATCTTCAGGGTCATTTTGACAGTCTTTCTCAGGACTACACCAACCTGGACGATCTACATTTACAAACATGTAACAATACTCCCGGGTTCAAACCATTTACTTTACTACGATTATTTGGACGACAGAGGGAAAATACATTCATATTGCATTATTTTTTTGTCTTTTCTTGTGAAGCCGCTTCAGATATTTATTTCAATGCTATGTTAAGTTACCATATTTTAGCTGTTACAAACATCTTAATGATTTATAGCAACTCGTAATCTTCGTCACGAAATGCTTGACTACTTGTAGATTTTCACTCAATAGACCATAAGCCTTATTCATATGCACGCTGTGCATTCTGGTCATTCTGTGCATTCTGGTCTGAAAATGCGCGCTGTGCATTCTGGTCTTAGTAGTCACGCTACTACGGTAAACATCAACATGGCCACTGCGGATAGTGAGTGTGTAGCTGTTCTTTGTCGTCTTTCAGAGGTAACTCAAACAAATGAAAACCCTAGTTCTTTTCAGAAATCTTGCACAGGTATTCAGGAGTTTGTTACATCTGAAGCTTATGGCAAGGAAATCCCAGAAACGTCGACGAAGGCAAAGATAGTTGGTGTAAATTCTAATACCGTTGCAAGTCCAGATGAAGAACTCGCGACATTTGGTCGCTTAGATTGGACAAAGCCTTTGGCTAATCTTCCATCTTTTACGCACGAGAAGCTTGAGCATAAGCTAGTTGAAAGTAGAAGAGGAAAATCCGATAATTATGCGCCTAACGCTTTTAGAAATATGAAGAAAGGTTACGGTCTCTGGCGAGAACGATATGTAAAGAATACAATGGTAAAAGCAAATGTTCCTACTTCAAATGGGGAGGTTGTATTTGTTGTAAAGGCGCGTGTTGGTGCATCTATGAAAAGTGTGAGCTACTCTGTATTTGTTCATTTAAATCAGAGAACTGCTGAAGTGGAGTATAGTATTTGTAACTGTAAAGCAGGACAAGGTGGATGCTGCAAACATGTCGCAGAGTTACTTTACACAGTGTTAGACTTTGTGAACCTTAAGCTTTCTGCTATTCCTGCCGAACTTAAGTGTGCTCAGCTACCTCAAAAATGGAATGTACCATCTGGCAATTCTAAAACTCTTGAGAAAGCTGTAAAATTTGAACACTTGCTTTTTGAAAAGGCTGATGTAAATAAAACCAATGAACAACATTCTGTAAGAGGTGTTAGAGAGAACTACTGCTTGACACCACCATATGCACAAGAACTTACCAAAGAAGACATCAAAATAATGGCAGATGCCTTTCAAAAAGTTAATAGGGCATCATTGTTATGCGAAGCATTTAAATCAAATGAATATCAGCCCAGTAATACTTTTGAGACTTCTTGCAATCAAATGATAAAGGAAAAGTTATAAATCAAAGAAAAACTATACACCCAACATTACATCCAATTGTTGTTTAGAATAGCCCAAAGGAGGACTATAATCTGTAGCCACATTCTTAACAACCTTGTTTATAATACACGAAGATGGATCTTCAGGCAAAGACTCCACCAGCTTTCTCCTCTTTATCATTCGATTAGGTAAAAGCGTTAGGCGCATAATTATCGGATTTTCCTCTTCTACTTTCAACTAGCTTATGCTCAAGCTTCTCGTGCGTAAAAGATGGAAGATTAGCCAAAGGCTTTGTCCAATCTAAGCGACCAAATGTCGCGAGTTCTTCATCTGGACTTGCAACGGTATTAGAATTTACACCAACTATCTTTGCCTTCGTCGACGTTTCTGGGATTTCCTTGCCATAAGCTTCAGATGTAACAAACTCCTGAATACCTGTGCAAGATTTCTGAAAAGAACTAGGGTTTTCATTTGTTTGAGTTACCTCTGAAAGACGACAAAGAACAGCTACACACTCACTATCCGCAGTGGCCATGTTGATGTTTACCGTAGTAGCGTGACTACTAAGACCAGAATGCACAGCGCGCATTTTCATTAAATATGAATAAGGCATATGGTCTATAGCATTATGCTTTGATGCTTTTCTTCAATTCTAACAAAAATTTGCTTCTGTATTTTTAGTTATAACAACACAAGAGGATCAGACACTATTTTTCAGGTAAAGTTTACAACTATACTTGAAACGGCTTCTATTTTAACTCATCATTAAAAGCTTTATAGATTGAAACATTGTTAATTCTTGAACACGGAACATCACGTCTCTTATTGATCGTACTCGAAATTTTTTATGTGGTTTGTAGAATGCGGCTGGAACCATTCACAAAAGGGATTTTTTTCGTTATTTTCTTTATCTTATGTGGTAAGTGGTTCTTTTATATTTCATTTTCAAGAAGTTGTAAGAAATTTTATGTGTCCAGATAGCGAGTTTTTCATAGACAAGGAAATTTAGCGAATCTAAGCAAAGAAAAATTTATGTCACAAACTTTGATATTTTTTCTTCACTTTAGTAAATTCAAATAATAAACAAAAGTTATCTTTAAATGATTATTTCTGTAGAGATAATTTCCTTGTTCAATCCTAGTAAAATATTCTGGTAATGCAAAGAATTGTCTTTGGAGACATGACATAAACAGACATTTCATTTTTTCGTGCAAACTATGAAAACGAATTGAATCAGGAACAATTTATGTATTGATGTCATCATTGCATTGCAAAAATAAAAAAATGGCATTTATAATAACTATAATTAACATCTGAAATAATTATTGCTTTATAAAAAAATAATACAATGTTGTAAAATTGAATGTTTGTAGTGCATCTTTGTACTGTTTATCCATGTCCTACATATTTTCAATTTTGATATCAGTAGTGAATTAATTGTAAGTGAATCTGCAAAATTGGCCTAAGGAATTGAATCTGAAACTGAAAAAGTTGTCCAGTCTGGGTTTTTTTAATAAGGTAAAAATGCGCAAAGCCTTTTTTAGAAATTAGCTTGCAAGCGAGTCTCGTTGCTTCTTTAAATTTAATTTTATTCAATTTTATTCACACTCCTCATATTGGCCATTTAAAATTGAGAAATGAATATATTTTTGAGTAACGCAATAAATTTTAATGCAAAAGCTTACCAAGATGGAATGTAACGGGTCAAGTTGTTTTCGACGTTGCATAGAGCTATAAATAATACACCTAATATAATTTTCGCTGGAACAGATGTTCATATATCTATATACATGTGTTTTTTTTGTGTTTCTGGAAGTAAAGCTACCAGATATAAAATTTTTTTTTGGGATCAACACAACGTTTCAAAAGTAAACGAATGTCAATTATCTAACTTAAAAATTAAGTAGCAGTTCGTTCTCTAGTCTGAAAAGCTTTATGAAAGTACGTAAATGTCTAGTGCATGTCTAAAAGTGCGTTTACACATGAGATGCAACAACGCTCTCGTATTTTGGTACTTTCCTTTCCCGAACTGATAGAAAACATTATTAAAATTATTTTTAAATAATCATAATATGCTTGTTTCAGTAGCCAAAACACCTTATTTAACATCGAGAAAAAATCTTTAACTTGCCACAGATTTTCATACGATTTTTGAGTTACAAATTTCTGAAGCTATTGCATGCGATTTTCCAAATATAGCAAGAACGACTCATATGGCGTTAGTGTCCGCCCGACAAATTGTTGTGTGTAAACGTACTTTAACTGTTATTAGATATTTAGTTGTGGATTCAGCTTTTCAGAACCCATTACTCTCTGATCAGTATCGGGTTGTTAGTTATAATCTTTTGGCTAAGTTCATTTCCTTGTTGTGTTTGTATGTGAATGACTTTGTCTTAATGACAACAAATTTTGCAGTCATCTACTTCCATAGTATATTGAACTGGTCCATTCTGTGTCTGATGACACCAGGCTCCTCTTCAGTAGTTTACCAATTTGTTTTTGGAATACTGGATTACAGGGTCGTAAACGCCGATACACTGCATGTTGGGCTTGAAATTCTTTCTGTTTTCTCTGGGTTTTTTTTTCTGCACTCTTTCATTCGTATCTGGATGTAACATGTCTAAACGAGATTGTGGTTTTCTGCTTATGAATATTTCTGCTGTCGAAATTCATCGGTGGCAAAAGTGAAGCGTTGTTTCTCATTCTCCGCTCTCGACAATGCCTTGTTTGTTGGAAGCAGCTCAAGCAACTTTGAATAAGCATCTACAATAAATAGGAAAATTTTTCCCTAACATGGACCAGCCTGTATTATGTGAATCCTTTTAAAAGGTCTGCTGGGCCATATCCACAAGAGGAGTTTTTTTGTTTATGTAACAGTTGTTATATATACATACTTTACTTTTCGATACTTTATCCATTTGTGGCCACCACACATACATAGATTATTGCTAAACGTTTTCTGTTGCACATTCTATTGTGAGTTTTATGCAACTCTTCTATTTCCGGACTTCTCTTTTTACGTGGAATCATTACTTTATCCTCCCAATAAGGTAAAATAACCTTGTACGCTTCCTGTCTTCCTTTAAAGTATAGTTGCATGTTATCATCTAAACACACTTAAGGCCTCCCATGCTTGACAAATTTAAGACTTTTGCAAGAATAATTTCCTTTTTAAAACAAAGAAAAAACAAAACAAAGAAAGTCTTTGCTAAAGTATTTAGCTATAGGATGCTGGAGGGCAGTCAGATATCGTAAAATTCCATCCGCTGCCAGATTTCCACTCGCTCCTTTGCCATCAATTACAATCATGACTTTAAAAATTTTTTAACGAGATGCAAATAGAAAAATTTAATTTCCTAATTTAGTCCTCCTAATTCATTATGTTGATGCTTACGATTCTCTTTTCTTATTTTTTTATTTTTTTATATGTTTGTAGCTAAGTAGACAATAAATTTTCATTAAAGCATTTATAAGCATTGTGTACTCTACAGCAGTGCAATTAAGTTATTCATAACAAAAACTAACACTGCTAGCTTTAAAAAATTTTGTATTTTAGGTGTTACCGTCATTTCATCAACGATTAATCCAACTCCTACGATTTCCTACGGTGAGGATTGTTCACATATTTTGGAATGCTCATTAGTTATAGCTTCTTTCTTTACATCTCCAAAACACACGGGACTTACGATATTGAAGTAATTTAAATGCAAATGAATAAATATATAAAATGGGCAAATTAACGACTGACAATTCTTCAAATTTTCTGAATTTATAGGGTACTCGTCAACAATTTCAGTGAATTCTTCTACACCTTCGAGCTTTTATCGTAAGTTCTTACTTTTTTATTTTTATTCTGAACTGTTTTAATGGTTTTATACTAACAATTTATTAGGTAATGAACGTTGGATCTGATATTCACATAATTATGTAGGATGTAATATAAGAATATTTGAGTATTTGAATATTTGCATGAAGTTATAAATTTCCTTTTGCTGGTCTTTAAAGTATTTTTATGTATAGCTCACTCGAAAATAATTTTATCATAGAAAATTGTAATAATTATCATTTTTAATAAACATTTAATCTTTAAAAACAGTTTCTTAGAAATAAATTTCTCTTAAGAGCGGGGCATCAACATCTGTTCTATTTCAACAATCAACTCAACGACAGGATCTATTATATCTCCTAACTATCCAAATGGCTTTGGAAGCAGGACCTGTATCTTAAGAATCAGGCAACCCTTAAACTTCGCAGTGAAGTTCAATGTTTCGTATATAAATTTAAAACATATAAAAAATGGTAAGTATGTTTGACTATTGTTCACTGATGAAGTATGAATAAACTGCTAATTAAATAGATCTGTTAATTAATTGACTAAAAGTTTTCAAAGTAGCCAAAAACTCATTCACTTTTTATATTAATCTTTGCATTACTACATTGTCAGACTTTACTGGAAATTAATTACTATCATTTATGTTTGGTCCTTTTGGTATCAAATTAATCAAAATTAGACTTTCATTGATATAACAAGATAAATAAATTTAACAGGTAACCAAATAATATGTTTGGATTCCATTACAATATCTGGTGGAACATCAAAACAATTCTGTGGCAACGAAACCTCTTTAACATTTACACCATATACCAATGTTGTAACATTGACATTCAGATCAAGTGGAACGGCACCTATGGAAGGATTTAATCTTACATTTACAACTTTCTATCGTAAGTATGTAACGGTGCTTTATATACCAATACACACCATACAAAAACAAGAATAACGATACAAAATTGTTTGCAAAAACAAATGTAGAGTTTTACCATAAAGTTGTTAAATGACAAATAAGAATACAAAATTAGTTAGTGTAACTAAAATGTGTTACAGCACCAAAGCAAACGCAGCTACATGATCTATCTTAACTTAAAAGAATCATTTTTATAATCTATAATGTTTTTAAGGGTTTTCACAAATGAAACGGAATAAACCATCACTCCTAATCTCTGTAGCTCTGTTGATAAAAAAACCTGCAATTTTTTT